ATACTTAATATATATATATATATTATTTCATTTAGATTCTGTAAGCCTTCATGAGGTAATCAATTGGAACAAGTCCGACCTTGAAGTTCTTTTCTCCAACCCACCAGCCATAACTGTCATACTCCCGACTCAAAATATGCACCAGATCCCCTCTGCTAAGTGCTAACTCATTGTCAGAACCCGATTCACAATTCCACTTACTCATGTAAATATTATTGTAGTCTTCCTCCCACGGTTCAGGGGTAACATCTCCATTTGTTTGTTCTTTCGCGGGTGTACTAGTTGGGGATGCAATATCTGAAGGCTGGGTAACGGAGCTGTCAGTGACAGGACTCTTAGCGGGAACTGCGGGGCTTGGAAGACTTGGTAAAGGTTTCTTCTGGGCTGGGGATAGTATTTGGCCAGGTAGTTGAGGAAGGGGCTTATTGGATGGGGGATCTTTTTTCGGTACTGTGGGTGGTGGGGGTTCGATAGATACATCATCGTAAAGTCCACCAAAATCTTCTTCAGGTTCTGGGTTACCAGCCGGTTTGGCTGGAAGAGGTATAGCTGGTAGTACCATCGGTCGAGCTGTCTTAGACTCTTCTTCTGCTGCTTTCCTTCTTGCGTCTGCATAATCAGATTCGACTAATTCATAAACATCATCAAAATCTTCAGGTTCCTGATCATGAGTTTTGATATCTAGCAAAAACAATGGAAAACACCAATTAATTAAAGACAAAAAACAGCCAACGGAAATCTAAACAAATCTAGAGTAGACAAAAATATTTACCCAAGGAAGGAGGTCGAAAATCAGTGGTGTATCGTATGTCAGATCTCACTAGCTAAATCCAGTGGCCTTTGATATTATCTGCACGCCCGCCCCACCCCAGATGTGTAGATATTAATCAATATTTTTTCATGGGCCCTTATTCTACCAGACAGGACCTGTTAATGAGTAAAGAATTAAAAAAAAAAACCCATCAAAATACGCTCTTTAAATTTTGAAAACTTTGGATTGAATGAATGCATCGATCCCTACCCTTCAGGGACCGAACATGTCCTCAGTCCCCAAAGCAGTAGTAGGGCCCGAGAAGAAGCCATAGCTAGGAGCTTCAGGCCTCCATTATTGAAAATTACATGTATGTTCCAAAAGGGCCGTTTCAAAGCTTTAAGTAAATTAAATTGATACGGAATCCCAGAGGTCATTCTCTCACCAGCCAAAAAACAAATGCTTACAGGAAAAAAACAAACCTGACTGACCAACCATTATATCTAATTTGCACACATACCCAGACACCTCCTCATGGAAATTTTCTGAGTGAAATGATTATATTTAAGCAGTACCAACCTGTATCATCATACATTGCATCTGGTTCTTCAACTAAAAATGAGAACACAACAATTTATTCAACTATTATTTATTTTCGGATTACTGTAATTACATTTTTTAAATGGATTTATTAATACATTATATACATATCCTTTACTGTAATGTAATATTTGTATTTGTTTAGAGCTCTTAAGACATATATTGTTAAATTATAAATAAATAAATTTATTTCAAAATGGCAATGTGCTAGACAACTCAATAATTTTTCTTAATATAACAAATTACTATATTATTTACAAAAAAAGATTTATACAGTATATACACAAATAAAGGTTACTGGGTAGCACCGTAAACACAATGTAAACAAATAGATAAATAATAATAATAGCAGTGTTCAAATAGTTCTTATGTCCTTATTTCAGAACTGTTATTATTATATATCTATTTGTTTAAATATCTATACAGTATATATAAAAAAAGTTTGCTGCACAACACTGTAAACACAATATAAAGAAATAGATAAACAGATAAATAAATAAAGCACTGTTATTATAATTACCTGCAGTATCCTCGTAGAGGGCATCACAATCATCAGGTAGCACCTTTTCTGTATTTTCACCTGAAAATGTTTACAAAAATAGTGTGTAATTAATAGCTTTACAACTTAAAGTTATTATTATATTAATTAAAACTGATATAATAGAATTGTGTTATGTGCCTAGGCACCTATTTTGTGGATACATGTACACAGGAAATTGCATATATTCATCATATTATACTGTACTTATATTTATATACATATATGGTATTAATGTATACAATATATATATATATATATATACACACACACATATATAAAATCTGCGAGTGTGAAAAAAAGTTGTCCCAAGTGATATTCGAACCCTGGACCTTCTGCTGTCTTAAGATGCCTTAACCAACTGGGCAACAGAGGCTTTGTTGGGAATTTAAATCCAATTAAAGCAACTCACTTCACACTCTTTTGTGCTGTGTTTGAACAGCATTAGTTCAACATTACAGAAGCTAATGAGTAAAGTAGGTCTTTGATCAGGGGTAACAAGTGCATAGAAGCCGTGTTGCTTCATATTATTACTAACAGTAACACAGTGTTATTGTTGTATAATTTATCCTTACTTGTTGGGAATGGTATTTTACTCGCTTTCTGTACAGCTTCAATCCATGAATTCATTGTGGCGATGTCTGGAGCAATAAACTGTGAACAAACAATTTAACAAAGTTTAAGAGCAATATTTAATACAATTATTAAGGCGCTGATTTAGGGAGGGGGGTGTTTCCCCCGTTTTGACACTGACATCGCATAATCTTTTTTTTTTGGGCAAAAAAAAATACAAAATGGCATAATAACTAAATAATAATAATACTAAATGTTATAATATTTTGTAACAGCATATACTGAACACAAATTATACTATTATTGGACACATATTTATCAGTATAATTATAGAACATCTTGTCCAATATGAAATTAGTGCCCCTCCCCACAACTTAATTTAAAAATTGTGGATCTAACCCTGCTATCAACTGTATTTACAATATTTTAATTTACAATCACAACCACCGCCAATTTCAAAGGTACAATATACAAATATTTACTGGGTTGAAGGGCATAGTTCAAAACATAGTTGCGAGATCACCATTGGCTATACAGTATTTTGAACTATGACCTGATTAAAACCCAGTAAATATTTTTTTTATATACCACTAAATATATTGTAGGCATAGGGCATGGCTGGAACTACTGCCTGGCTTTTAACCAATCAAATGCCAGAAATCTCTGTAGTCGGTAACACAAAACAAGTTATCTAACCTGAAATGATCGTTTAGTTGGACAAACAAGTTCAAAAGTGCAGTCCTTCTTCTTGCCACTCTCTAAGTGGGGACAAGGTCGTCCTTCGTAACCATTTAACACAATGTTGCCTTGTTGCTCGCTGGCTGACCTCTTCTTGTAGTAGTAAAACACATTGTCTTTGATTAAACAGTAGCGTGTTTGCCAAGATTTTCCAATCAGGTGTTTACTTTTCTTCTCCAAGTTACCAGTCATTGATGGCATGAATACTTTCTCCGCTGCAATTGGTTCAATCTTTGCTCCGGAGGAACCGTAACCATAGGGATCATCTCCATCTTCATATTTCTCGTCTTGACTTTTTTTACTAACAGTGTCTGCTTCAGGTGGAAGTGCTTCGGTAACTTCGTAAAGTTCGTCACAATCATCTGGAATTGGCTCGACATTGGGTATGTCAACATCATCATAGTTTTCTATCAAAAATAGAAAGTTTAATCAAATTAAAATAATAAAAAATAACAATACAGAGCATGATACAAAATATAAGGTATCATTTATAATGGGAGGAAGTGGAGGCACCAGCGGTGTGGGGGGGGGGGAAGAATTTTCCCCCAAGGCCTAGACCCCCTGTCGTCCGTCGCCATGACAAGTTTGTTGGACCAAATATATTAACTGCCCATCCAAAAAGTTATTTTGATTACCAATCTCTATTATTGTGGTCTAAAAGCACAAGTTTGAGCTATAATAAGCCATAGAAACTCTCCCCATGAACCCTAACATTGTTATTTTACGATATTTTAATTGACATAATTAGGAACTCATAATATGTCCTTAATAGTAAAACGCCATTATAATTCTTCCAGATTTGTGCAGGTGTTTGGGCTGTAAATCGTAAAAAATATTTTGTTGTTCAAATTAGTATATAATGGTACATGTTGCAGGTACACAATTAATATGCCTACTGTGTTTTATAACATGAACAATATTTTCATTGCAAATTAATTCACTTAAATGATAGGCACAAACAGCTAATGTATGTCTACAAAAATAAAGTTTATGTACAGTATTGCATTATTTACAATAATTTCATATCATAAAATAACAGTTTTGAATACTGAAATTACCATAAAGATTCTAATTGAAACTGTACTCTGTCTTACCTTGCTGTAGTACAGTATCTAACAATGTTTATCTGTAGACCACTGCAGTCTATAATCCTGTCTCTTATACACATCTAGATGTGTATAAGAGACAGATCCGAGGATCACAGACACAAGGTAAAACTGATTGTTTTGTCAACCTCTCCGATCACATTTTAACTAAAGGAGAACGCTCTCTTCTTAATAAGGGCCTATCATTTTGCCCATCTAAGAAACCAGACCCTATCCAACAGTGCTCGGACTTGCACCAATTCACTTGCAGGGTCAAGCTTAAAGAATATTTTCAAGATGAGGATACCGGCACAAACACACAGAATCTAAACCACCCAACCTCACCCGAGACCCCTGGACACCAGCTTCTGGCAGAAACCCTTACATTGCTTCATTCATTAATGCAGCAAAGAACCACCTCAACTCGTTCATCAATAAACAGACCTTCAGGCATTCTCCAATTCAAAATCTATACTCTACCACTGACAAATATTTTCCTATTTCTTAAACCTAACTACTATGCTATTATTCAACCTTACTATGTCTTATTTCTTACTATTATATATTATGTTCACATAAATAAATTCTAATATTATAATATTTTAATTAATTTATCAAGTAATTTAGATAATGAATCATTAAATAAGTGATTAAAAAACAAAATTATTTTTATACATTAAAAATGTACGTAGGCCTATTTTTCAAGCGTTTCAATAAGTAAATGTTGATGCGTACATCGATGCACAACAATGGGCAAAAATACAGAACAAAATTACATGCGTTATCTACACGCGCAAATTTTTCAAACAGACGGAAAAGAACGTTCATCATCATAGCATAAGAAACAACAAAACCACATACACACACAGCGATGCACTAGCCTAGACATGATTATGTTCATACGATCATAATGTACATTTATACGTATTTCCAGGTAAGACATTTGTTTTTAGTTTGTTTTCTAAACATTAATTATTCTTTATTTCATATAAAGAGATTTTGGAAATCAAAGGTCCGATTCGATTTCGAATTATGAAAAGTGTAGGCTGTGGCACCGAGACCTCTGACGATTAGTGCCCAAAATTGATTACAAAATCGTAATGCAATAATAGCATATTGACTACTATTGTACATTTTCGGAAATATTTCAGCCGCTCCAAATCTCTTTCCTATTCTTCCTTCTTCCTTTATTTTTTCACAATTTTACATTTTATTCATATTTTCCATAATGTTATACACTCACATGTTATAGTCACTCGTTTAGGCCTAGGCTAGACCTCGACTATGCCTATTATATTATTTAAAATATACAATTTTAATTGATAGGATTATTTTTAACATGAACTAATAATTCATACTTAAACAATACATTAATTTTAAATGTAAATATAATGATATAACGAATAAATAAAAATAATTAAATGTGTACATAGTATCTATCACTACTACTAGTAGTACAATAACAAGATTAATATTTTACTATCTTATAATCAATTTTATATAGCCAGAGTTAGTTTCGACCTAGGCAAACCTTTGCTAAAAAGGTACACTTTCTCCATTAAAAGGCTTCTTCTATGAATTGAATGACCTGTCCGAAGCACGAACTCCTGTAGACCAAACCCAGTACCATTACGATTTTTAATCGTACGGGAAATCCACTCAAGATAAAATACAAGGACAACATTACCATCACTTAACGAAAAGCAATAAGATAACTCAAGAACAATCCGGAAATCATCATTAAACAAGTAGACAAAGGCAGAGCCACTACTCTAATGAATGCATCTGATTACATTGCAGAAACCAATAACCAGCTTTCTAACGAGTTTTATCAACACCTAAACAAGGACCCTACTGAACATTTTTAAAATGTTCAGTAGGAGTAGGAGTTATTGATATGTGCAGTAAATTATCTGAGAACACTAAGAAAATTGCTTCTAGTTTAATTCCTAACAATCCACGACCAGGTATTTTCTATACTATTCCTAAGTTGCACAAGCTACCTAAATTACTTAAGACTAAACTTGACATAGATCCCCCTTCAGATAAATCCAATTTTTTTGACTTAGTCAAAACCCACAATGTCATACCCCCAGAAAGAGTCGACCCATTGACAATGGAGGATACAATGATTCTATCCTCTATTGGTACCTCACCGAATCTCTATCTGGCTTTATCGATTCCCTCATTCAACCTACTGTTCACTCCATCCCCAGTTACGTCAAGGATATGACCCATTTTCTTAATTTACTTAACGATATTCCTGCCCTCCCTATTGATACCATTTTAGTCACCATGATGTGTCCTCATTGTACACCAACATCCTGCATACAGACGGCCTACAATCTCTTAAAACTTTTCTTCCCAAACAAGGATTTTCCAATGAACACGTTATTGTTAATTTTTGTCTATCTCCTTCCTTAGAATTGTTGACGTTCCCACACGCATTATCAGCTTCATTTCTATTATACCTCCTAATTAGTTAATTCGTTATTTACTCCACCTTCTAGTATTTTTTCGCCTATCACCATGTGCATTATACTTTGTTAAAATTTTATAACAATCAATTTATTCGTTATACTATATTGAGATTTTTGTAACAGCCAACTTACATAATGTTTGTAACTCATGCTGAAGAAGGCCTGAGGACAGGCCAAAATATTCATGTGAATAATAAATTTAGTGTTTCAAGTCTCAATTTTATTGTCTTTACTTCTGAATTGTATTTTGACAAAACACACATGGACTTATTGGCATAACACTGGCAATTTACCTATTTGGTTATACCGTATATGTACAGTATATAACACAGCACTGCAGTGTACATAAACAAATAGATAAATAAATGGAATAAAATCATATCAAGCATAATGCTATGCTTGATACAATTATGACATCATATTCATATGTTCCTATTTGAGCAAGTCGTACAGTACTCATGGTGCTATGCAGCATACCTAATTTGAATACTGAATACCTAATTTGAATACCTAATTTGAATATTATACATTTCAGACATACTGAAAGCATACCGTACCTTGAGGCTCATCTTCGGTGGGAGTAAGTTTTTGGATGACATTTTTTACTGAATTCACCAACTGAATCTTTTTTGTGGTGTTATCTTTACTCAAAGAAGCACTTTTGAGTGTGAACGTCAAGAAATTCTCAACATCTAAAACATGGGAAAAGGAAATAAAAATCAATTTTAATATTTCCTGTCGTCATCAAATAATTACAGTACCATAGCCATAATCATTATTATAAGGAAATTATTAGTGAAAAGAAAAGAAACAAATTCTAGTGAAGCCACTGAAGCATACATAAATCTTTCTTGGTATGATGATTATTAATGAGAGTCAATAATAATAATAATAATAATAATAATAATAATGAAAAAATATATGGTATTTATTCAGAACAAAGTTAAAAACATAATATATGACAGCCACAAGGCTGATTTGAAAATTATATTACATTAAAAGTGAACAAACAGCAGAACCAAGAAAAAAAAACAAATTACAAAAAAAACCAAAAAATAAACAATTGCACAATGATGACAATAGAGAAAAAACATTGTGAAGTAGTTATTATTAATGTAATTATACATTATTATTAAAATAATAATTATTACCTAATTCAAAAATTAAACACTATTATTATCTTAGTTAAAGAGATATAAAATATAGGCCTATTTAAAAATTATTCAAAACTAATCCACCACTGCAGTCTATAATCTTTATAATATATTGCTCCTTCAATCCTAGACTCTCTAATTGAAGTAGTTACTAATTTTGTAATTATAAAATTAAAATAATAATTATTAACTAATTTTAAAGTTAAATTATTAAATTACATATTAACATTTACACTATTATCAATTATGAATGTAATAAAGAATTATAATATATGTTATTAAGACTTCTCCATCACCGTAGTCTAAAACTATGACATATGTAATAATATATTTTTGCTTCAATCACTCCTGCTACTACATTCACAGGTAAGATGAATTTGAGCAATACAAGTCTTAGTATTATTTATTAATGTAATTGATTTTCTCTTCTAGCTGTGCAAGTGATGTACAGCATTTGAGCCTAGGGCTAGATAGGCAGGCCACTGTCATTGCAATGACAGACAGGCTGTCCTTCAAACATCTCGATCGAGATCTCCGTTTTTAAATGCATTGAAACAGTAAAGAAAGTAACAGTTGTTACCTTTCAGCAGGTTTTTTATCTCTTCGATTAATTTTGTATCCATAATTTCGAATTCTTTTAAGTTCTTGAAACAAAAATCCCAATATTACAGACAAAACAGAAGTTTAAACTCCTTTTCATTTCAATACCAATTTCCTCCTTCCTGCATGCACGCTCTGTTTTTGTTTTTGAGTTTCCTGGTTCACAACCTTTGACATTTGAGGTCATAATTTGCATGCTTTAACCATGCTTTAACAAACAACAAGACTTCCAAGAATAAAAAGTAAGCTACTCGTTGTCGCTGCGGTCTTGGTAGGTGTGATTTTTCATTCAATTCAGTGCTTGAACCTGGTGTATTAATATTCGTAATGCCAATGTAAAAAGAATACTCTATGCATAAGTAGTTAACAAATGTTTATAACGTAATTTTATTGTCTTGGTTGACTGGGCTAGGCCCACCACCAGACGGATTATGACCGGTTGGCGATTTTTTTTCCGTACGAAACATTTGCATGAAACTTCACTCGGGCCATCTCGGATTGACTCGAGTGAGTACGATACGAGGAACAAGAGCAGACACTTCGCAATGTCGTGACGCTCGAGTTTTACTATTATTGCTCTTTCTATGTTTAGCTACGGTAGGCCTATGAAATTTCACGGACTTATGTGATGTACGTCACTGTGTAACTAACTGTGACCTTCTTGGATGTTATTAAATGTTAGTATATTATCTACAACAACAACAGCTAGTACCTATTCCCTAGGGAATGACGTCCGGTTCGGCCGTACACTTGTTCGGCCGTAATATATTTGTATGGAACGCCAAATAGGCACAGAGCTGTGCGTATGCTATGTGTGTGTGGTTAACAATAATCTCCCTATTGTAATCTATTGCTACTGTATCCATGATTTCTTGTGGGAAAACAGTGGATTTTATTACGTTTGTGTTAGTTAATAATGTTTTTTTGCAAGTTAGTAATACTAATACTTATGATTTAACATTATTATGTTATTATGCTGATAATCCAACCAATGGATTTTATGATTTTTATATAGCATCTATCGATGTTTATGTTAATATTATTGATACAATTTACATAGTTGCATTTTAGTATGTTAATTAATATACTGCTAAACCAATAATCAACCATCTTCCAGGCAGACATGACCACGAAGACCAGAGGAACCTGCTTGGTGGTGGTGCCTGACCTGACGAAGCTATGAATGAAGAACAGTTAATAAAAGGGATCCTTTACCAACTTGAACATACCTGAAAACCAAAAATAAATATTTAGAATATAAAATATATAATTCAGTTTATATGATAAATATGATAAATTTGATTTATCATTAATAACTACTATTTTTATATGGCCCACTTACATAATCGTGTTAGTGTATAAGATATTTTAAATACGGTAACCAATCACTTTTTTCTGGAATGAAACGTACAGATAAGAAAGTATAATACATACTCCAAGTATTGAAATACACGCCATCGTGTTGGGATTCAATACCTAATGAAGAACCTACAGATACTGTACTATTTACTAGGCCTATAAATAATAATCCCCCTGAGGGGAATATCTTTTGTGTTATTTCCCCTTAACATCGTTTTTTTAATTGTTCTCTAATTCCTCCATTGTCTAAGTTCCCCCTAAAGTACAGGTAATAATAATAATAATTAATAATAATAATAATTATAATAATAATAATCATTTCAGCATATAATTACCTTGGCCTAAGGCTTGAAATGAAGAACCTACATATACTATTTACTAGGCCTATAAATAATAAATAGCCCAAGGGGAATATTTTTTGTGTTATTTCCCCTTTGTCTAAGTTCCCCTTAACGTACAGGTAATAATAATAATAATAATAATAATAATTATTATTATTATTATTATTATTATCATTTCGGCGTTACATGTAATTAACCTGGTCTAGCCTTGTAATCAAGAACCTGCCGATTACTATGCCTAATTTTAACAACTAGCTCATTTTTACATTCATTTGATGTTTTGCCATTTTGGCAGGTCCTATGGCATCCAGTATTTTAGAGCTGCCTATTCTCAGCTCTTCTCTTAATTTGAAAATAACTGTCATTCTGTTTCATTTGATCAGATGAAGAAAAACGCGCTTTTCCTTACACTTTGTGCTT